ACCACGTTGTCCCTCGCGAGCGCCAATACTGGATCGATCACACGGGAACCATCAGCCGTTTGTATAACAACTAGTTGCCAAGATAGTTGTGGTGGTGCTATCGCGGCACCGGTCAACGGGTGACTCAATACAACGCGCATTCGCGGTCTTATGCAGACTATAATTACCTACGCGGAATAAAATCAACATTAATAAATTATACACACCTAACTGATGTTTTTTAATCTATTATGAAACACCTTCGATAATGTTGCCATTGCTACTAATGTATAATTTTTTAGTGGATGCGATGGCAAATGATTCAACAGCAGGGGTTCTAGAGTGCACACTTCTCCCTTGGAACCACTAAACAAACATCTACTGTCGCATCCTCGTATACCTATCACTCTAGTGAAATTCAGCTCGAATACGGAGCCTCCACTGTCGCTGCACAAAGCTATTTTTGGCGAATCTGTAAACTAAAATTACTGGTTTGAAACTATCGATTGAACAAATAGATTCACGATACAGTAACAATGATAAATTGGGCAAAACTCCTATTTAGAAGGACTCTTTCTAATCACCTTGACATATGTTATCAAGGTCAAAAAGTTTTAACTGTCGCTCATCGTTTGTTAAAGTCATTGACAATCAAAGTTAATTTTCTTTGATATTTTGAACAATAATATAATTTTTGCGTAAAAAATTAGAAATCCATATGGAACATATCACTTCTCACTTTGCATAGAAAACGTACATGTAGATATAATGAGTTTTTTACGAGGAGAGCAATTTGATTATCAAAAAAATTAGATACATAGATTTTTATTGAATTTCGTTTCATGTGGAAAGTTATAAACCCTAGTAGAACCTTGTTTCACATGGTTACAATTTTTCACGCAAAAGAAGATTTAACTCAAACCTATATATCTATTTTTTTTTTATAGTGAATCTCATTGAGGCGAAACTCATTGCACCATGCATGCGCTTTCTATGCGAACCGAGATAAGATCCCTTCAGGATAGATTTAAAACTTTCCATTGAGAACGTAGAAAGCAAGTTAAACACATTTTTATATTGTCAAATTCTTTTGTCAACAACATCAAAAGTCAAGATCAAAGGCGATAGGCCTACAGAGGTGGATTCCCTAAACAGAAAGCATTAACTTTAAAATTAATGAGTATCAGATGTTTAGAATCCAGTAAAAATTTTCGTAGTAATTTAAAGTAAAATGATCAAATCAGTAAATAATTTTCATAAAATATAAGTTTGTCCAATGATCGATAGTCATTGTTCAGATAAAATATATTCCATAAAAATTTTAATTAGATATTCAAAATGTTATATAGTTGTATCAAGGAATTGCGATGTAAAAGAATGATGATTTTGTGAACTTTTATATTAAAGAAAAAAAATAGAAAATATTTGAAATATTCATTTGCATACTAATTAGATATAAACTTATGTATACATGCAACTAATATCGACTCGTTAAAGACATTATTATAATTTATGATTAATTTCTTTAGAGCTTAAACCCTTTCATACTACAATAATACATTTATGTATATTAATTTCACGTGTATGTAAGAGAATTGAAATTGTACCTTAACATGCAACACAGCTGTATCTAGCGGATGTACATCAGTGAGAATCCTTAAAACTTTCCCATTACTGCTATCTAACATCAAAATATGTCCTCTTACGAAACCAGCTAACACTCTGCTGCCATCGTGGTTGAAACAAAGAGCAGAAACAGAACCTTGATGTCTCGTTTCCTGATCACACCATCGCAATGTTTGCGAAGAATCAAAGCCCAGTATTAAACCATGACTGGTACCGATTACTAGCATATTCCCCCCAGCTGCGACTGCACTAGCCAAACCAGCGTTGACTCTCTCCTGTGTAAACCATATTTAATAATGATGACTATTCCAAGCTTGGTTACTATGCATATAGCATGTAAAAAATTTGTAATTTGAAGGAACATAACTCCTTATATCTCCTGTATAATGTATAGAATAATTGCTCACATTAGCTGATACAATTTGTGATGTTATTCCTTTGAGTATGACATGCCTTAAGATAACACCCGAATATGGTTTATGAGCAGTCTTAGAGGATTTATTTAATGAATTCAGTGACAAATGACTGCCAATGCTAGTAGTCTCGCTGCTGCCAAGTTTTTCTCCTAATGATAAACCAATGTCGTCCTCCGTTTCCGACAATGACTCATAATCAGGCTCCATCAAAATACTTTCTAAGGTGGGTAATTCTTCCACGATTGGTATGGCATATTCCGTGTTATCTAACTAGAAGGAATATAAGAGGCATGTAAGAGAATATCATTATTAAAACACAATGCCAATATATTATAATTAAACGATATAAAAGCACGACAGGCAAAAAAGATGAATTAAAAAAACAAGCGGCAAATAGCATAGCACGATTTGCTCGATAACGATCGTATTATATACACACGTTAGATGTTTTACGAATTTTTAAGTGTTTTATAATATTGCATGGGCACAATTAAAAATATAGATACCTCCTCGATATCTAAATTAATAGCTTCCGCAACAAGACATTCGTCACTGTTCGGTACAAATTCATTCTCGGCCATCTTATGTTTTCTTATATTATGTTATCGCGGTTCCGGTAAGAACGGCTGATCTATATATATGTATATTTGACAATTATTTGACACATTGTTTTCATTCTACGTGTGTGATGCCGCGACCATACGCATTTATAAGTACATAGCAGAGAGAAACTTGAGAGAGGACATGCCGGCCCAAAATCTGTAACCGCAAAATGATGCCGCGCACTACTGTCCCCTGGCAAAGTGAATGTTAACTACATTTGAATGTAAACTACATACCTCATACGGTAATACGTCCACTTTTCAACTCCAGATAATACATCGATATTTGGTTCATATAATCGTGCTACATTCACAAACTGTGCATCAGAAATATTCATCTCTATATATAATCTTACATGCGCGTGATGTTTATTTCGCTTAAAAGTATTAACTAGGTTATATAATATTTTTACAAATGTGTTAATATTTATATTTTAAGTAAGCTATATGCATATGAATTAAGTTGTATTTCAAGCATTTTATTTTTATTAAACACATTTTATTTACTTTATTATTTCCTTATTACAATACTAAAATTTAAAAAACATATAATGACAAAATTAATCTAAATTTTTTTTGTATAAGTATTTCAAGTATTTAAAATGCGATTATAAGTTTCATTGCGACGCAAAAATTAGGTGTTTAATAAAATAAGAAAACAATATATTTTGTTAATAATAACATAAATTAAAAGAAGAGCTAATGAAAGCTGGTTAATTATATGTATGCTTGTAATTATAAATTTTTATACACAAAAATTTAAACAATGTGAAGAGTTTCAATTCGAAATATTTTGTTTATTTATAATATAATAAGAATAATATAACCATACAATTAAAGCTGCATCTAAAGGTGAAACATTGCTCTATCGAGCGATTATAAATGTCAATTTAAAAAAAAATAGAATATATGCATTTTAGCTAAAAATATAATATTACTTTCCTTCTATGACTATTTTATCAATGAAACTTTACATAATACATTTTGAATATTTAAAGAACTTATACAAAAAAGTTAGACTTCCGGTCGAGGTGAGTTACAGAGAAGACATATTCGGCGCACTTCGTGAGGAAATTTAAAGTTTTCGTAGCTGTAGAGGAATTGCCCTGCGGGGAGTTTTTTGTTATAGGGACGAGAGTCGTTAAACCGAGAGCTAGGCAAAAAGTAGCTCGTTCCATCAGGAAGCGGGCTAATTGTGGAAAAAGAAGACGGTCCAAGGGAAACCTAACCTACAACTGTCATAGCTACAACCGAGAACGTCGTGATACAGGTGGCCTGAAAGCCTGTATTGGGTGCATAAGAGAAGGAGTGGACAAAAGGTGACAGGAGTGCATTGGGTGAGCCTTTGCATAAGTCGGAAGGTAAAAAGTAATTAGGCTCGGCGCACGTGGCAGAAAAACACGTGGCAGGAAGTGACGGAAGAAAAGGGGGGAAGAGGAGCGGGGAGAGACGGAGAAGAATAAGCAGGGATAGAACGTCACGAAGCGCGAGCGCGTCTCGGGAGGGGGAATGAGCGAGAGTTTGGAGAAAGAGAGAGAAGGAACCTGCCTAGCCACGGAAGAGTCTAGAAGTAGCCGAGCGGAAAGGTGGGTACAGTCAGGGGAGGAGTGGGGAACAAGATCGAAGGACGGCGACGACGGTGAACGTCAGAGACGAAATACGAGTGGAGAGAAGGGAGCGGGGAAGAGAGGAAGACCCACGAAAGCGGAGCTGCTAGGAAGGGAGAGGAGGGATAGTAGTGTAGTGAGCATTCCAAGCTCGTGGTTCTCGAGAAGGGGCAGAGCGCGTGAGTCGGAAGAGAGTGAAGACGAACAGCAAGTCGTGAAACGAAAGAAGGAAGGAAAGGCAGGAAAATCGCCAGAACAGCAGGGGGATTCAGAGAAGAAGAAAATGGCGAATTTAGAGGAGATAGAAAAGATGATGGAGAGACAACTGCAGCGGCATAAGGATGATATGATGAAGATGATAAGAAGAGAATTAAAAGAAGAGATGAAGCAAATAAAATCAGAATTTGAGAAATTTAAGGAGGAGGAAAGGGAAAAGATGGAGAAGTTGAAAGAAGAAAATGCAGATCTGAAGAAAAGAGTGGAAGAAATAGAAAAAAGAAGAGATGATCAAGAAAGAAGAGATAGAAGACTAAATGTAGTCATGCGGGGTGTAGAGGTAGAGGGGGGAAATATGAAAGATGCTGCTGTAGGGGTTTTGAAAAAATTAGGGGGGTTAGATAAAGAAATAAAAATAAGAGA